TATATATATATATATATATATATATATATATATAAACTACATATTTATCATATTAAATATCATATTATTTTTTATGTTGTTTTTAATGAAACTATTGAAAAATTAGTTGGTCTAATTATTAGGCCCGACTAGGACTGCAAATGAGTTAAGCCGAGTCGAGCATTGGCCTTATCGAGCGGGATTGATTTTTTTTTTTAGCTACTTGAGCTCGTCTCGATAAGAAAATACAGTAGCACGAGCTCGGCTCGAAATTTTTTAAGTGAAATTACTATTTAAATATATATAAAGGGTATTTTAGTAGTTAAATATATATATATATATTGAGCCGCCTCGACGACCGTTCGACAATGAAAAATATGGGATCGAGTTCGACTCTAGTTCGTGCTCGAGTTGAGATTAGACTCGAGCGAGTGGCTTGTGAGCCGCTCGACTCGTTTGCAGCCCTATGCCCGGCGTGACAAAAGACTTAATCCGAAGTCAAGTTTGTGGCTACATTATTTAGTTTTGTAACTTTCACTAAAACAAGAAATAAGGGCAAGGCGTTCAGGATTATTATTGATTGACATGAATAAAATTTTCTTCATAACGGTGGCATACATGTAACTAAATACTCAGTTTAATTCAGAATATTGTTTCAGTTATTGTAAAATGTCCATTATTCAACTCATTAATTTTCTAACATATGAACCATTTGTTCAATCTTTTAAGACCTGAATTTTTAAGTGAATCAATAACTAGTCGTAGCCCATATCAAGCCCAATTTAACTCTTAAACCCTAATCATCTCTCACCTAAAAATCGGAGAGAGAGAAAATCCCAACCTTCACGTCGACAAGCAGAACGGCAACCACAGTCCTCGGAGTTTCGTGTTGCAGCATCTTGTACCGACGAGCCACTCGCCCAGCAGATCCAAAGCCGAGCCATCGTGTTTCAACCGGCGACTTGTAGCAGCCGCGCGTCCACCGGAGAAGAGAACTCCACGCCGGCCGTTCACGTCGAAAGCTACCATCTTCGGCCCTCGAACAGCAACAGCGGCAATCCATTCCTGACAGGTTTTGCCGTCGACTTCGAGCAGCGGCAACCCCTGTCGGCCTTCGTTCAGCACTTTTGCAAGTCGTCCCGTCGATTTTTCTTCGGACCAGCAGCGGCCGGTGACCGCCATATCGAGCAGAAGCCGTGCGGGAAGAGCGACGGCAGTCCACGGGCACCTTTACAACGAGAAAAGTGATCAGCAGCCTCCATTCACGCCGGCGACTTCGAGCAGCCACCGCCCGTCGATTTCTTTTCCATGTAGCAGGTCCTGAAAGGTCGTCTAAGCCTTTCACGCGAGCTCAGCCCCGCCATCACCTAGCCGAGAACTCACCCTTCTACCGAGCCTGTTTCTTCACCGTTTAGTCCCGTAAGCAAGGTATATGGCTGAACCCAATTTCACCTCCCATATAGCCGAGAATAATGATTAAGATATCTAATGATCAACAAAGATGTTAAGCATGCTAAAAGAAATTATAGAAATTGTTTGATGAGAGAGGCATGATGTACGTATGGTGTTTAGAAATTGAGAAACAATTGAGGCATGTCTATAATAACTTTTAAGGTGCTCAGGTAAGAGACTTGATTATGCTGGGTTGAGTTGATGTTTTCATGTAACTAATTGAGAGGCAGTTATCTTGAAGTAAGTTGCAATGTTTACCTTGTATGAACCGTCCAATCTAGACTTTATTCTTCGGACTTTAGACATTTTAATCTAGGACTTTAGACGAGTCGGATATTAAGAAATGAAGGCCTTGCTATGTTTCACCAGGATCCGGTGAGTTCCAGGCGCGGCTGACGAGAGCCGACCATTCAATTCAATTGCGATGAAGGAGAAACGACAGGATACTTCGAATCACATTCACAAGGAAATGTGTGACCATAAGCTTGTGCTAGTTAAAGGTTATTAATTTCTACCTATTTATTTCCATCATCAAGATTATTTTATTTTTCTTTTGGGAAAAGAAAGGGTTGTTGATTTTTGAAAAATTAATCGGCGTAGAGAAACGATTAAAATCCCGATCTCTGTAGCCTCATCTTTCAGGGCTAATGGATTTGATTATGCAAATATGGTTGAACCCTTTCTTTGTGATATGCTTGACATGGGAGCTAGTACAATAACAGTTTAGTTAAACGAATTTGGGGTTAATTTATTAGTACATGAGTGAATGTTTAGATTAGGGTCAAAATCCTTTTCACCCCAGATATATCGTGTTTTTTACACCTCACGTTAACAAGGTTATGTGAAATAATTGTCACATATGATATCAATCATATAAATGTCGCATAGTCATGGCAATGCGTTCGCATTTTAACTTTTTCACCCAAAAAATGTAAAAGGGTTTGAGCTAATGGAAAACTTTGGTATATTTTTGTGTAAATAGATCCATATGTTTGGGTAATTTTAGTAATTTGGATTTTGAAAATAACTACATTTGTTGTGATATTTACCTTTTTTTTCTTTATTATATTATATGTTGGCTTTTTTTTTTTTTTTTTTTTT